GACAGTGTGTCCCCAGCCTGAACCAACAGAAAAATGCCAACACTACAGTGAAACATGGAGGGCATGAAGAAGGAGAAAAAGGACAAGACACACCCAATTTCCTCCATCTTGTCCCCTTTGGACCCCTTATCTAAAATCCTACAATTTTACTTTTGCACCTGTGCCACACTTAATTATTACTGATATCAAACACTCAGAGCTTGTAATTGATCCTGTAAGATTGAAAACTCTTTTGCATGGACAGAGATCACAGCCAGTGTCTCTGGGGGCTCTGTCCAGGGGGGTTCCTGACCCCTGCCAGGGTCCTAGACCCGCCAGGGCAGCCAGAGGGAAGCTCTGGATTCCCACACTCAACAGCCTCACAGATAAGGCAGGTTTGTGGTTTCTCTGAGGTCTGACTGATTCTCCAGCCTGGCAAGGAGATGCAGCAGCAGCACCCTGCCCTTTCTGCCCTTCAGTCTCTAACAGGGCTCAGAGGGAAGAGGGACCATCATCATCATCACCCTCCTCACCCCAGTAACCAGTGTGGTACCAAGGAGGGCTCCCTGGAGATAGCAAGGAAATTTCCCATCCTCATCCCATTTCAAGCCCCAGCAGGACAAAGGGATGGAAACCAGCAGATGAAAACCCAGACAAAACCTGGATTGTCTTGGGTTCATTTACCCTGTGAGTGTGCACCCATATGATGTTAAAACAAGGCCAACACCAGCTGCCATCTCTTTAAGAGATGTTAAACCTAAGCGAATCCTCCATCAGCAATGAACTCCTGTTTGAAATGCCTCCAAATTGAAGGAAATGAGTATTTCTTTTGGCGGCCCGGTCCCCCAATCGGGGTTGCTATGCAACCGCCTCCTGCACATGGCTGATAACACTCCCGGCATCATTTCCCCGCCTGACTGCGCCCTCAGAACAAAGCCCGCCTAATGAAGCTTTCAGATGCTCTTGGCTCTGCCTTTGACACGGGTTCAGCACGGGTTTTCCCTGCTCCTATGTGGCAGTCACAGCAGCCACTGGCTGTCCCTCCCAGCCAGGGATGGAGATGCCAGGGACAGCCCTGGGACAGGGCACAGCAGCTCCTGAAATGGAGAGAGCCACAGAAGCAGGCAGTGGTGAGGCCCTCTGAAGTGCTGAGCCATCAGTGTTACAGATCAAGCCCATAAAATGTTCCCATTTATCCATCTGCCCCAGTACCCTTGTCACATCTCACTGCTGCCTGCGGATATGGGGACAGTGAGGATGAACTTCCTCTGGCCCATACAAAGAGGGCCAGAATGCAAACAGCTCTCCAGGTTAAGCAGTTCAGTCCATTGAAGCACTTATAGATTATTTTTTTAGCAATCTGTTGAAATAAATGTGACTGTGATGGTCCCACACAGCATGTGCAGGCAAACCTAGGTGAGTTGGCACAGCAACAACAACCACAGCTGGCAGGAGCAGCAGCTCCATCCTCCTGAGAGCCGAGGCTGACACAGACCCATTTTGGAGTGCTACCCACACACATCTCACAAGCACTGCCAGGGATGGTGATTCCACCCCTTTCTGGGCAGCCTGTTCCATTCTTTCAGTGAAGGAGTTTTTCCTATTCTCTAATTTAAACTTCCCCTGACACAACTTGAGGTCATTTCCTCTTATTTTGTCACTTGTTACCTGGGAGAATAGACCAACCCCCACCTGGCTAAATCCTATCCAGTAGTTGTAAAGAGGGATAAGGTCCCCCCTGAACCTCCTTTCCTCCTGGCTGAACAACCCCAGCTCCCTCAGCTGCTCCCCATATTGTGCTCCAGACCCTTCTCCAGATGTAGCAGATCTACCCTCTCCCAGCTCTTTTTCTAGCAGGGCAGAACACAGTGAAACAGAGAACAGAGCATTTCCTTGGTCCTCCAGCATCTCACCTCCTAAATGGGATCACCCTCAATGCGTGTGTGGATGTGACACAGTCCTGGCGTGGCCAGGCAGGGAGGATGGCTGACAGCACATGCAGTGGCAGCTTACCAGAGTGCACAGACACAGCACAAAAGCTTCCAGAGGGACAAATTCCCGTCACCAAATGCTTCTCAGACAGCACATGACTCTGGAAGAAGAGCTGGGGATGAGTGTTTCCCACACCTGTGGGCTGGGAGGATTCCTGGAGCTAAAAGCACAGATACCCTCAGACACCAAAGCAACGTGGGGAGTTGGAGAAGGTGGTATCTGCTCAACTAAAGACAACCTAAGGAATCAATCTTTCTCTCTAAGACATAAATTCTGCAAACAACCTGGTAAGAGTCACAAATGAGCACAGCACCCAGGGAATCCAACCCAATCCTGCTTGAGGGGGGTTTTCAACCAAACAACCCACCTGGCTGCTCACCCGCTGACTCTGCCTGGCTGAGCTGAGGAAAGTGCAGCGTGGGTGCCTCTTTTTTGGAGACAAAATTGCCTAACAAGAGACAATTATGTGACATTACCATTAAAAGCAGCGTGTGACAAAAAAAAAGCTCTGAGCCTGTGTATCCTGAGGTCTGCAAACCCCTTTCTCTACTTTTGTGCTAAATAGGTCTCATTTAGCCCATTTGTTCTGTCCCAGGCAGGCAAAGCGAAAGTAGGGTTGATCGATTTGTTAATTACAGTAATTTTATCTTAAATAGAGACAGCTGAGTGTTCATCAAGTCACAACTCTGCCTGTTACCGAGAGCCCTACCCCCTGCTCAATAATTAGGGATAATAAGTGGCTCATAATAAATGCAACCCACAACAACAGGCTCTGAGAGGGAGATGCAGAATCAGGACTATTAGGGAACCCCCAGGTCTATTTCTCCTTTTGAAGAAAACAATGTAAAATCTTTAATTGTCTCTCTTGAAACCCTGAGACAGCTCTGCCAGTTTGTTGCAAGTAAAAGGCAATTATTCCACTTTGTGGCTGTGCTTGGGTCCAGAGAAGGCTTAACCAGAGTCATCAGGGCAGGCAAAAGTGGCTCCTTCCTCCTGCACTGACTGGGCACACGCAGAAAGCTGGGGTGGGAGGTGACACCACTGGGTTATGGGTAGCCACACTCCTTGGGAGCTCTAAAACCTGAGTGAGGCTCAGAAGATTAAGTTTTATACACGGCACAAGAAGTTTGTGCTCAGCTTGGAGCTTCCATTCACACACATGGACAAGCAAGAAACACATTCAGCACTAAGGGCTCACCTCACCCTTCCACTACATAAAGGAGACACTGCAAAAGCTGAAGGCAAGGGAAAACCAACCTCTCATCCTCATCCTGAACAGGATAGGGAATTTCTGAAGCAGGTTTCTACTACAGCCTGCCAAGATGAGTTTGGGATGAGTGAGGAGAGAGTAGCAGAACTCCTGTGCCTCTGTGTCCCTTCCAAACTCTGAAAAACAAACAAAATTACACAAAATCCACAGAGGTACACCCACACCCTGCATTTCTGTTGGATTTCTTCCTCTTTTCCTGCTTTATCCTCTGGTAATTACCCCTGCAACTTCACCAGCTTGAAAAGTGTGGATGGCCAAGACGGTCACAGAGATGAAAAGATCACCACTCCCAATTCCCTTCCAAGGACTAAGGATAAAAGGAATACAAAAAGGAACACCTTCCTCCTCTCCCATTCTTCATGTCAGCCCCTGGCCAGAGCTAGAGAACAGAGCTTAGTGTGGAGGGAAAGGCTTCAGCCCCCCGAGCTCAGTGGGTCCTGCCAGGTCCCAGGCGCTGGGGGAAGGACAACCAGCACAAAGCTGCTCTGACAAAGGGTGTCTGCCACCACAAACAACCAAAAACCCATACAAACCTGAGACTGGAGGGACTAGAGACTGCCCAGGCCGTTTCCCAGCTGGAAAGGCAGTGCAGCTGCACATTTTCCTTTCCAGTGACTCAAAACGTTGAACTTCAGCCTCTATTTCCCCCCACAAGTTGAAGACATGTGCAGTCCTGACGTGCAAACGGGATTTGGAGAGAACTTTAGGGTTCCATCCTCTCAGCATGCAAAACCACTGATGTCATGTGTCCTGTTTTCAGCACTGGGGAGTGTGTGGGGGTAAAGAAATAGATTTAATCAAATGCAGTTGTAGTTTATTTACAATAATAGTTGCTGTCACTTACTTTGCTCCAGGAAATGCATTTACTTGTGACATTTCCCTCCAAGAGCTGAAGCTTCGCTTGTTCCTATGAAGACTGTATTTTTTGCAAATACTTTTTCCTAAGGCAAGCTACTTTTTAAAAAAATCATTATTATTATTTTGATATTTCAGTTCCACTTCATCCACAACTACATTTAACCAGCATTTGCAAGATTCTTTTATGCTCTGTCCCTTATCTCAGCACAACATACAGTTGCATTCAGAATAAATCCTGTTCTGAGCAGGGGAGAGCTGTGTAATGATCAATCACAAAAGCCCTCGGGGATGGGAGAGATTAGCACTTTGATACTACTGAAGATGAATGGGTGGAATAAGTTTGATAAACTGGTGTTTTCCTCAGATAATTGCTCAGGAAGATTTTTGAAGCTGCTTAGATCCTCCTCCTCCTCCTTTCTTTGTGTCTGGGTAGGAGAGCAAGCCCTGCTTCTCCAGCAGCACTGCTGGACAGGCTGCTGCACTGCTTTTAAACACTTCACAGTGATTCATGCCACATCTCATCACCACTGAACACTGTTAGTTGTGATTGAACCAAAGATCCAGGCTGGATTCCTGCTATTCTTGGCTGGGCCAGGGACATGGACCCATTTCCTCAAGCTGAAATCTTGAACAACTGCTCCTCTTCCTTCAGAACTCACTAATCCTTGGTGCTCACCTTCTGCTCCCATCCACCTTTCTCTGGGCTTTTTATACCCAAACAACCTCCTCTTCCTCCTCCTGGAGCATCCTTCTGCAGCAACCCCACAGGATCAGCCAAAGGGAACTGCTCCTGGAACACAAAACTCTTCATCCCTCTTCAGGCACAAGGCAAATCCTGCTGCATTCACAGATGGGGTGCCATTTAACTTGTTCTCAAACACTAATGAAAATGGAGCCAAGGGATTTTACTGTATTTTTATTGTTTCACTGAATAAATGGAATTTAAATACAGAATTAAAAACTCGTAAAAAATAAAAGGTATTAAAAGCCATCCTTCAGGAGTGACTGAAATCACTGACTGAAAAATTTACACTTACTTTTTGATACAAAGATAGGAAAAAGAATTTTAAAAGCATATCCATAATCTGGAAAGAGCTGTTTTGTTTTATTTATTTTTTTTTACATTTCCTTTCATATTTAAACCTGATATTTGTCTCATGAGAGTCTCCCATTAACTTTATTTTTCACAGCACTGATTCACATTGTTTGGTGTTCAAAAAACCCCACTCATTTGTAGTTCACAGCAGCAGTGATGCAGTCATGGCCCCTCAATACACATGGACAGAATATTTAATATACCAGCATATGAGGGGTAGAAAAAATGCAGCATTGTGTGTTTTGCAGAGTGCAATTCAGCTTGCAAAGGAACTTTGAGCTCACAGTGATACCTTTATGATTTGGGTTCTTCTCAGGGTATCACATCTCTGGCATTTCCTCTTTGCCATCTTTGCTCCATCACTGCCACAAGGAATTCCCGAAGCGATGCTGAATTAGGTACCTTTGGTTTTGAAGCCCCAGTTTGAAGCAGCTTGATCTTTCCAGAGAAACATAAATCACTCATTCTCAAGGAAAAGAATCAGGCTCTTTCAGGCACTATTTAAGCCCTATGAAAGAGGCATCTCAAGAATTGTTGACACCTGAGTGAGGGTTGGGAGGTTCTATTACAGGTTCTTAAGAAGACATCTATGAAGGTGATCCAGCCAGTCAATGCATCTGCATCATCTCAACCAAAAAGAATAGACAGACTCTCTAATATATGAATAATTTCAAGGTATCTGCACCACTCACACAGAATTCACAAAAAGCTAGAAAGAATATGGACTGTGGCTCACCTGTTCCTCAAGGATCTTAACCACCAAGAGGATTTAACCACACAGACAGAACAATCACAGGGTGAAGCACATTTACAACAGAATCTAGGAGCTTGAGATAATGAATAAGGAATGCTACACTTCATCCTGGGGGAAAAAATGAGAAGAGGAAAAATTCAGATTGCAATGGAAACAAACACCTCTAACAAAAGAAGTAATACTGGAGATTGTCACTAGTGCAGCTGGATTTGGCAAATGAAATACTTTGAGTATACACTTGCAGGGCAGCCCTGCTTCTGCCACATGAATAAATATCCAAACGTGTTTAAAAACAGTATTTAGAGAAAAGAGTCCACATTTCCTGCCAGGCTGAGTGTTTCACCCCTCACACTGCGCTGTGGGGTCCTTCACGTGAGGAATTTCAGCATCAGCACAAAGGGAAGCAACACTTCTGCACTCCTCACAGGCACAGTGCTCTTGGAGCCAAGGCTGGATGATGATGATGAGGAGGAGGAGGATGAGGATGCATCAGCAAGGTGTGTGCTCTGCTCCACCCTCACCTGTCCAGCCCACAGCTGTGCTGAGTGCAATGGAAATGTGCAGCCAGAGCAGTGAGGGCTCAGCTCAGCCACCTCTCATCTCAGGGGAGGTTTGTTGATTTTGAACAAACGCATTCACACAGAATCTTCCACAAAGAAGTTCAGTTCACGTGGCCAGGTCAGGTTACCAACCTCACATTAGCTTCAGGATATTTCCTGTGTTGTCTGTTGTCCATCAAAATAAATGCATTTTTGACCCTCATCAACGGCAATTTGGGTGTGCATTACCAGCATGGGACAGGCACCTTCCTGTCACACTGCACATCTGAAAGGCTGCTGTATTTTCCATACCTTTTTCCAAGGAAAGTTATTTTCTTGTATTGCATATATGTATTTAACTGCAGTCATGAAACTCACAATGTGTTGATGTCACATCCCATCTGGCCTTTTTGGAAACATCCTTTTTTGTTCTTCAAAGAACAGAACAGGAGCTTAATAATGAAGCCCAGGATCATAAATTCTCCTGGTGACATGCCACAGGCAACCATGGACCCTACCCAAGGGATGTCCTTAGTACCACTGCAGCATTTGACTGTCTCTCCTCCAAAAGAAAGAGCAAATCCAGGATACACAAATGCTTTCCACCATATTCAAGATAATCTTTCTCTTCTTCTGTTCCACCTTTGCTGCACAACCACTGCAGCTTTGCCTTCAGGGTTTGTTTTGGGGGATATTTTGTTTAGGAACAGCCATTCCCCCTGCAAACTCTGCTACACAATAATTGCTGTTGGTTTCCAGCACCCCTGTTAACACAGAGGCTGTTCTGCTCTCACTGCCAGTGCCATGGAAGCAGATAATAAAGGTGCTTTTCCTTCCAAGAAACAAGCAGTGTCTGCTCTGACACTACAACAGGAAAGTCTCTATTTCCACACCTCCCAAAAGCTGCAACCAAGTGCTTTGTTTTCCTTGTGTTTTCCTTAGAACATCCGCGGATAAGATGGGTTTTGCTTAATTATCCACTCAGCATGAGGGTTGATGTGGTACAAGTCCAAGAGGTAAGTGTCTGGGTCCAGGCAATGTTCACCTGTTAAAACAAGACATTCAGAAAAAAAACTCATTTTAAAATATCCTTAGTCCTTTAGCTGCTAGATTTGTTTTTTGTTTGTTTTTGCCCCCACCTAAAAACTAGGATTTGTTCACATTCATTTCCACATTGCAACTTTCAGAAGCATTTCCACAAATCTAAAGCAATCGCTTTGGGAAGAAAGAGGGAAGATGTACATTAGATATTAGGAGGAAATTCTTCAGTATTGGGATGATGGAGCAATGGCACAGTTGTCCAGAGAAGTTTTTTAACTACCTCCTAAAAGAAGCTAAGCATAAAAACTGGATATCAAAGCCCTTTTTTCAGGTACCACTTGTACTTACCAATATTGCCTCCCACTTCATACAGGAGCAAATTTGTGCACTCTGCGGAGTTGTTACTGCAGAAAGAAAACCACACTGAAGGTTAAATCTCTGCAAAGATCAGTTGGGTAGTTTAGTAATATTCCTTCAAAAGGAAGGTGGTGCAGCAATGATGAGAGGCCATGGGACAGAGACCTTGCTGATCCTCTTGAACAGTGCAGGACACCCAAAATTGGCAGAAAAGAAAACAAGGCAAGCTGTTGGTGAGGCAGCAGTTGACCCACATCCAGCCAACTTCCCTCACCCTCCTTGTCTGGACACCTGGACACAGAGAGGCACTGCCACCTTACCTGCCAAATTCAGCCTGGAGGAGCTGGGACAGAGGGGGCAGGAGCTCCTCTGCTCCTTTTTGGGTTAGTTCAGCAATTCACCACAGGAGCACAGGAGGGAATTGCCGAGTTTATTTTAGGAGATCCCTACATTAACAGAAGCACGCTGGAATTACTACTCCAGGCAATGCCACAGGTGATGTTTTCTGCAGGAGGGATGGAGGGAGTTTGCTTGTCAGGGTCAATGTTGCTGCCTTTTCCCTTCCCTTCAGCAAAGATTCTTGAGTTCTCTTGGTGTCCAGCAGCACGGAGGGCACCACTGACCTCGTCACAGCCTGAGCCCTGGGTGGCATCACTCAGAATAAAATTTGCCTTCCCTGCCCAGCACCATTTCCTAAGCTTAGAACAGAGGAGCAGAGAACAATCTCTCTTCATGACTTGCTGTGCTTCCACCTCACCTCTACCCCAAGACAGAAAACAGCAGCTAGACCACTTAATGTGGGTTTTTTTTCGTTTTTTAAGCAGAGAAAAAGCCATTTACCACTTGAGGAGGTTGACAGTGTTAACAATATTCCAGCCATTCTGGCACAGGTTCTTCTGAAACTGCCTCAAGACATCAGCAACCCTGGTTGCATTGTTCAAGTGCACCTCCAGAGAGTCCTTCAGGAGGAGTGATGCGTGGACCTTCACAACCTTGGAAGGCTGAACAAAGCAGGCAAAAAGAAAGAAGTGCTTAAAGAAAGACTCTTACAAGTCAAAACATTAATTTTCAAAATGAATTGGAGAGTGTGATGAATTAAACCTGTCCAGCCAGCTGTTCAGAGAGTTTAGGCTTGTTTTTTACAGTACAGGTTGAAAGCTTATGGAAGCACCAAGGTGGGCACTATAAATATCATCAGTAAAGCATCAATGGTTCAGCGTTGAGGCCACGAGAGGAGCCCTGTGCTCTCCATCAGCGTGTGCTGCTGCTCTCTGCTGCTCAAACACAGCACTGACACAAGCTGGGATGAAAACAGCATTTGTCAGAAGAAACTATGACAAACTGTTTTGCACAAGTGTGAAAGACTCCTCTGAAATTAATTTAAATTACTGGGAAAGGAATTTAGAGGTTAGGTTGCAGGCTACTGAATTTCAGAAAGGTCCTTTCCAAAGAAAGGAAGCTCCAAGGGATGTGCCATCTTAACAGACATTATGGAGCAAAAACAAAATTAGGCAATCACCTGAATTTATGCTTTAAAAAAATGAAAATAAGTCTGCCTTTATCACAGCGGACATATCTGCACCACCACATGGGACACTCGGAGCCGTAAGAATTCTGCTCTTCACGTGGGGAAAAACAAAATTTCTGCTCCAGATCTCTTCCTTGCTCTTAACCAAGTGTTTTGTAGCCAGAAATGTATTTAGTGCTCTTCCTGTTGAGATCAGTTTTTGCCACAACCTGGCCAAAAGCATCTGGGAAACTGTTCCTCATTATTCTTCTTTTTTTGCCCCTCACTCTTTTCAAGGGTATCACCCCTTTAATCTTTCTGAGTTCTCAGCAAAACATTTGACTCTGCCACAAAGGGGTTTGGGTTTTTTCTAACTCACCTCTCCCTGGTTCTTTTCCACCTTGTCTTTATCAGCGTGAATCTTCCGCAGCAGATTTTTAATGCGCTTGTCGCAGAACTGGTACCTTTTGCTGTTGCTCTCGTTCAGCTTTCTCACCTGAGCCACCAGAAAAGAGGAGACCTGGGCAGGGGAGAAGGGTGAAAACAGGGATTAAATCAAAAAGAGATAAGGATATCATTTAGGAACCCAATCATCACTTTAGCTCCTTAAATAGACAAAAAAATCTGTGTACCTTGAGGACAGGTAGCCTTGGAATTCAGCCAGATGTTTTGCTCACAGCTGTGTAATTCCTCTGAAATTTCCAAGGCTATCCTTTCCCTATCCCAATTCTAACAAGACCAAGACACTGCTACACCATAGCACATAATTCCAGTGGAACTCACTGTCCAGAGCAGATCCTGGTAATGGATCATCATCCGCACCACATCAGCCGCCCCCTCCGCCAGCTGCTTCTCCTTCCCCTCAGGGATCTTGTTTGGCAGCCCCTTGTGCATGAAGAGGTTTGGGGCCATGACTGTGGAAACGTTCCAGAGGTTCATTTTGTTGTTTTTTTCCCTGGCAACCACCTTGCTGAGAAACTCAAGCAGGGCCTGAGAAGAGGGAAGAGATGTAAGCCATTCATTACTAGTAATGCTCAAAAAATACCATGGAAATTGCTGGAGAGATCATTAATTAGCACTTTTTCTTGATATAGATCAGCCAATCCCATCTCTCCAGCCAGGAAGTGGAGTGACCAATTTCTAATACTAGGATAGCAACAAATAACCACACCAAGAGAGGTTTATCCAATCAGGAAAAGTAGTCTGTGTGGGAAACAGATGAATTTTTACTCCTTGGCAGGTGGTAATTTACAAAGTCTAGCAGTAAATTTTCTGAATACAAAGATAAATCCTCCCTTTCCTTCAGTGTCCCCTCGAAGCCATTCCCAGATGTGGAAAAACAAACCCTTTTGGATTATCTCTTTCAACCTCACGCCTCCACCAGAGCCATGACAGATCATGTTTGACTGAATTATAAATTCCAGCGCTCCAAATGAAGTGTGCAGGGTGCTAAGCGAGCCTTACCTTTAATATCTGGGAGCTGAACTACTGAGGAGGAAAAGAAAAAAGGCAGCAACAACCACCACAGCTCTTATAAAGCACAGAAAGGCAGAGGTGGTGTCTATTTAAAAGCCACGTAGCTGAGGATATGGCTTGGTGGTTGCCTTGGAGGTGCTGGGGGAATGGCTGGACTCTGATTTTAAGAAGGTTTTTTTTCAGTCTAAACAATTCTGTGATTCTATGTTTTACCAGCTAAATCAAAAGCAAGCAAGTACCTTCAGAGTGTTTCTGTTGGACTCTGGCAGAATCAGGATCAGGAGGTTCAGAGCTTGCAATCTTTGCTTCAGGTCTGGAATATCTAGAAGGAGAGTAACAACAGGACAGAAGATTCAGGTTTCTGACCCTTCTCATTGACCACAGGAATCCTCCAAGGAATGAGACAATTACTTATTGAATGGCTGGCCATCTAGAATTTGAGACCTTGTTTCACAGAAGTAATTCAAACTCATACTATCTTTAAGGGAACTACCCATGGTTTTGAAGACTGACTCATTTCCTTTAGAGTACACAATCAACCAGAAACCCTTATGCCCTGGAAGGGCAGCAAAAGTACCCGTAATTCCCCATTTTTTGAACAAAGAACTTGTGCACTCAAGCAGTCAGATTAACACACCCAAACTCCTAGTCTGCCCTTCAGGATCTTAATCTCTAAGGGAAACACACACAAGAGGTTCAGCTCCAGTCATCTCTATGACCCCACTAGTGAGCAAAGAAATGTGCTTGCAGAGCAGCACGTTACCTGCAGGCTGTGTGCCCTGGCCAGCTCCCACAGCTCAGTCTGTGTGTCATTATTGATCAGTTTGTCCTGACAAATGGCAGCAGCCTTGCAGGCTCAAGTGACACAGAACTGAAGACATCAGGACAGTGCTGCTGCAGAAATGCGCATTCAGCCAAGCACAGTGACTGCAGCCCTCGGCTGTGCTGCATTCCCATCGCATCCACGGGCTCCCAGCACACCTGACAGGACAGCCCAGGGCCAGGGGAGCTTGGCACAGAGCAGACTGGTGCTAGGCAGGAGAGCAGCACTCACTCTGGACAGCAGCAAAGGCAGGCAGGTACTCTGCTGTCAGCAGCGGGGCCGGCAGCTCACGGATGAATCTCTTCAGCAGCCCCGACACGTCGTTCTGGTGGACATCATCCCAGCGGAACAGGCCGCTGTAGAAGTCCCTTTCCAGCTTCTGCTCCAGGCTCTGTCAGAAAGATGGAATTTATCACGTGCTTTAATAAGCAAATGTAAGAGAAATCATCTAGCTGAGCACTGGGAGGGCGAGACATCGAGGCAAAACGGTGCAGAGAGCCTCAGCACACGCCCCAGGATTTCCCAGCAATGGCTGTCCTGGTTCTGCTGGGAAGGGGACGAGATAATTCGGGTCATTCAGACACTTGCTTTAGCAAATGCTTCCTGATCACCCCTGACACTTCCAAACAATGCTAAAGGGCTCATACCTTAATTCTGGTCTGGGACCCAGAAACTCTCAGGATGCCCTCTGTTTCAAGTCCCCTCTTCTCCAGGCAGGACAGCAGCTATTAAAGGGGGAAACAGAAATCTCTCAGGCACAGAGGAGCAGTCAGCCCGTCCTTATCACAGACTCCTGGCTCTGAGGACCAGAGGTGAGAATGAAACCAGCAGAGAACTTACTGCCTGGAGCAGCAGAGGGACCTTGGTGTTGGGCAGCAGCTTTTGGTCATTTTCCAACAGGGTGTTGAGTGGAACTCCAAAGAGTCTTTTCTCTACAACAGAAACAACATTTCCAAGTCTGTATCACCTCTGACAGAGGTGTAAGGGATAAATCCCCCACTGCAGACTAAGATGGTATTTTTGTAAACACAGATACTGGAGAAAGAGAGTTAAACAGGACAATTGCAGCCAGACATAAATGTGCTGGTAGGTCTTGATGTCATGATCCACTGACTTCCAGGAGAAATCTAAAGAGAACACACCTGGCACAAGGTTTCTTATCAAAGACCCTCTGTTGTAACATTTGAAACACAAGTGATGAGTGTATTACGAGAAGATGAGTGGGAAAATAAAAAGGCACAAAATAGAGTACAACTAACCTGTTGTTTTCAGTTTTGCTGCTTTGTTTCTCTTCAGCTCAAAGCCCAGAATATCACAGAGAGCTGTAAGTTCAATGAGGGCCAGTGTGGGGATCTTCTTCATGTCCTGAGCTGACAGATCTCCAATCCTGGTCACTCCTAGTCTGCCCTTTGGGATCTTAAATCTCTAAGGGAAACACACACAAAAGGTTCAGCTCAAGTTATCTTTATTAATCCCATTAGTGAACAACTTTTGCTGTAGTCTTATTTTTTTTTATCATAACCAGGCATCTGTTCTTCCTGCTGTGTTCAAGACCAGACATATGCCCAAAGCTACTCCTACTCAACCACAGCTGAATAAATATTTTCCCTTTTCAATATTGCTCTTTAATCATACTAGAGATGCCAGTTTTTTAAGTTAAAGTCAGCCTGATACACACCCCAATGTACTTGAACTTTGGAAGCAGCCCAGCTCATTTGCAGAGAGGAGGAAACTTTAGAATTATGAGTAAGAAAGTGCAGTTAGTTACTCTCCTCTTTTCAGAGGAAACAACAAGGATGTGTGTCAAAAGAGGGAGTTTCAGATAGAAGTCTTATTATTTTTGATCCTCCTCTACATAATGTCTATCCTTGCCCAATATTACAAAGATAACAGCACAACACACCCCAAAATACCACCAAACACAGACCCATTGCCTTGTACCACCTTGACAAGCCAAGACTGATAAATTCTAACAAGAAAAACTCCTCCAGTGCTTACTGTTAGGGCATTTCCATCCTTTAACTTCCTGGATTCAGACAGGAAGGATCCCTTGAGCAGGACAGCCGCTTGCTCTGAGTAGGCAACATCCATGTTGAACACCTCCTCTTTCCCAGGGTTTCGAACTGTGCAGGAATAATCCTGGGCTTCTGCTGCAGAGGAGAAATTGTCTTGAATTTCTGCAAGCCAGGAAGGTGAAGCTTAGAAAGCAAATGTGCTAAAAATGCAGTTTGAGATAAGTTTGGTGCCATTGCTTTTAAAAACCCTGCAGTAACACGTAAGAAGAGTGTCCCCACAGCACAGAGTGATCAGTAGGGTAAGAGTCTTCCCTGAAAGGGTACTCAGGCACTGGAACATGGGAACAGGCTGCCAAGGGAAGTGGTGGAGTCACCATCCCTGGAAGGGTTCCAAAATTGTGCAGATGTGGCACCTGGGGACATGGTTTAGTGGTGAACACACTAATGCTGAGTTAGTGGTTGGACTTGTGATTTTAGAGATATTTTCCAAGTTTAATGAGTCTGTGACCAGTGTGAAATCACAACATTATGGCTAAAATTACCAGGTCACTGGGAAGACAAGACCACAGCCTTAAATTAAAGGACACACCTATGGCTAACATCTCTTTACACAACTGCTGGTGGCATTTATAATGTTGCACTGTGTGATCTTTACTAGACTGATTTTATTTTTATCTTTCAGTTGCTTTATCAAGAACTTCCAGTGATCCGCTTCAGTGACAATTCTAACAACACTGGAGCCTGGAAAAGTTTATTAATCCACAGGTATGAATAACCACATAAAGAAACCCACACCCAAACACAAACAAGGTCAATGTTTCAGAACCTGTATATACTTAAATATGTGTGTGGCTTTCCTTCAGTTCCAGCCCTATTTCAGAGGCTACTCTGCATTTAAAAACTTCCCCCTTACTTCTCTGAGTGTTTGAAGTCCGTAGATTGTGCCACAGTGGGTCTGGGCTGGACTCCTCTTTCTCTGCTGCTGTGTCCTGAAAAATAAGAAAGAAATTGTTTTAGCCACAACCAAAAGAGCAGTACCACAGGAAAACAGCTGAAAAGATGGTGGTTATGAATTCTTTATCAAGGGAAAAAAAATCCAAATAAACCAACCAACTTCCCTCCCAAAAAAAGCAGCATTAGTCTTTCTCCATGATTTCCACCTCTACAAGGTCAGCTTATCAGAACTGAATTTGGGAAGTGCTCTTGTTTTGTTTAATGGTGATTTAACACGTCACTGGAACAAAGGCAACACAAGAGGGCTCCAAACGATGCCAGTGCTCCACGAGGCACGATATAGCAGGATGTGACTCCAGCCTGGGAAGGCCATGCATCTGCAGCCTTTCAGTAACTCCTTGTCCTGGGTTATAATATTGGGGTGTATTCCATTACCACCTGGAGCTGCAATCCTTTTCTTTCCTTATCTCGTGACCCAGAGATAAGTCCCTCCAGGAGGAGCTGTTCTTTTAGCCACATGGCTGATAAGATCACAGCGTTCTGTTGTGAGATGCTCCTCCCAGAGGGAGGAGCCAAACGATGCTGTCAAGGATATAAGCAGGGTTGTGCAGACAGCAAGGAGATCCCCTCTTCCAAGAGGAACAGCTGAGACCTTCTCTGCATTAAACCTCCAGAGGGAAACCACATCAGTCTACAAGACCACTGCTTAGACAAAACCATATCTGCTACCACCGCCCTAGCCAGCGTCAGGTTGTATCTCTAACTCTGTCAGTGGTTCTTCTTTTGTGCTATTGTATGTATTTGGTTCTTTGTTCCCTTTTTCCTAATAAATTGTATTTCTGACTTAGACCCTCTCACTGGTTTTGCTTTTCAAACCAGGACTCTCCTCAACACTGCAACCAGCATTTCTCCAGTCTCAATCTCTTGAACTGAAGGGAAGCCAAGACACACCAGGAGCCCTAGACCCAGAAAGCCAAGCCTTACCCCACGAGGCAAGAAGCTCTTTTAGGAGATGCCAACAGCCCAACCAACCTGGGAGCTGCCCACGGCGAAGACGTCGCGCACGTCGCGCACGGGGTGCTTGTTCCTCCTGCGGCGCGAGCGGGAGTAGGTGTCCAGCCGGCGCTGCACGGCCGCCGCCTGCGTCCTGGTCAGCGTGGACAGCAGCACCAGGTTGTCCTTGTCCCCCTCCGGGTCCCCGAGGAGCTCGGCCAGCCCCGCGTCCTGCAGCCACTCGGCCTCGGCCTCTCCCTCTGCCAAGCGGGGGAAGGCAGAGTGAGTGTCGGAACTCAAAATGTCCCTCAGACATTTTTAGAGGTTCCAGGCCTTGGTCAAAAGCATTTTAGACCCTGGCAAGCAGCTGAAAACAGCTGTGATCTTGAGTTTGAACCATGGAATGAATTACCAACTTTGAAGGTGGAACAAGCGGTCACAGAGGGTTAGATGGTATAGTAAAAGTAGTCACAAATTAGAGGGGAAAATTTTTTAGTATTGTACAGGGGGGTTTTAATACCTGTACAGGGGGGTTTTACTTTGTACATGGGGGTCAGGAGTTCTAAGATGGAGGAAAGTGGGCCTGATCCTGTTCTTCCTCCTTCTTCTTCCTTGCCTCCATGTTCTTGGTGATGTCGGCATTCACAGATTGGTTTAGAGTAGGAAAGCACATTGTAACATAGATAGTAGGTATTGGGGAAAATCTGTAAACATATAATATATAATATATCATATAAAAGATAGCAGCAGCCCTGGGCGGGGAGAGAGACGACGGAGACACCGGACAGAGAGGGTGTCAGGAGAGTGTGTGTCTCTGCCTGGGCCGCTGATCTAGGCAGCCGCAGCGGGCGAAGACAATCTTTTAGATAGCTAGCAATAAACTGCCTTGAGACCGAACCACAAGAGGCTGCGGAGTCTTTCTTTGGAAGCACGGGTTGGAGGAGAGACTTTACCACCACACAAGACCCCTGAATCAATCCCAGGGTTCTCACAAGTGAGCAGAGAGCAGCAGGCTGGGCCATTCCTGGTTGGGGTGGCAGTGGGACACGGCTGTGTTCTGAAGGAGGGAGCCTCAGCTGTGTTCTGAAGGCTGTTCTCAAAATCTCAGCCCTAATCCCAAGCACCCAGCTGGGTATGGGGTGACATGGAGGACACACGGCCCTTTGGGCAGCTGTAGCTGCTCACAAAGTTCTTGTTGCTCATTCCAGGTGAGGAATTCCACCAGGCAGCAACTGGCAGAACAAGAGGACACGGTCCCAAGCTACGTCAAGGATGGTTTAGGTTGAATATTAGGAAAAAAATTTTCGTTGAAAGAATAAAAAAATACTGGAATTGTCTTCCTAAGGAGGTGGTGGAATCACCATCTCTGGATATGTTTTAAAAAAGACTGGTCTTGGCACTTGGTGCTGTAGTCTAGTTGTGGTGTTAGGGCATAGGTTGGACTTGATGATCTTAGAGATCTCTTCCAACCTCATTATTCTGTGATTCCGTGAAAAAGGAGAAGAAAGAACTGTGGGGGTAGAGATACTCCCAGGAGCACAGCTCACAGAGGAGCTGGGCAGAAGGGGGCAGAAGTGTGACTCTGGGTGGTATTTAGACAAGGACTGTGACAGGATATGGGAGGGAGGTCAGGTGGACCTGACAAATCTGCCTTTCCATGGACTGCCTGTGCAAAGGAGAGCTCTGGCAGCAGCACACAGCCCCCCCCAGAAGGAATGGCAGGGCTTCCCTGGAATCCACCTGATCTTTGAACAGCTTTGAGAATGGACAAAAGGTCTGTGAGAAGCCACAGCACACAACACCACATATTTGGCTTATTATTTTTCCAAATGACTTGGTTGCTTCATTTACTTTTTTTTTTTTTTTTAATCCATATGCATACCTAAGTATCAACAATTTTTAAAAAAACTATATCCAGATCCTGATCTGGTAGGTTCAAATGTGTTTTACTTAATATACTTGCTGAACTATTTGTGTGCATCATCCCTACTCTCTAATTTTTTAAGTGGATTGGTATCCATATACCCAGTTAAAGCAAAAATGTTATTTTTACTCTGTGCATTCATTTTATGCCTGGGCCTATTCAAAATATCACTAAAATTAAAGATCATTCAGGAAGTGTCAGAAGCCTGGAGACAGTACAGCAGCATTACTCAAACAAGCTTAATTCCACTTCATTCTTCAATACATATAAAGTTGCACTTCAAACACAGAAGGCGTTTTTTTTTTTCTTATGGGATACACTCATAAGGAAGTGCAAGTGAGAAAGTGCCCTGAGCAAGGCAGCTACTTGAAATTCAAAGATGAAAGAAACAATTTAGCAGGTGACTTCAACTTTAACACAGCAAACACCACAAAGCCTTTATCTTTCCAATTCCATCTACCACATTCATTCACTGCAGGCAGCTCCAGCACAGCCCTACCAAAGGTTATACTGGGAAAAGGAGAAATGACAACTGAACCGACTGGCACAGAGCAGCTCATTCCCACTCTTCCTGTCCTATGCAAACTTCCACCTCCTCAGTTACCACAGCAGCTCAGGCCAAGTTTTGTTATTGCTGCATCAATAAATAATAAATAAATAAAAAGCAGCCATGCAGCTCCTTGAGAGATTAAATAATTTCATTTTTCTGGAGAAAACTCATGCTGATGCAGCTTGCAAACACATGTTGGGACACAAATAAAACTCAGCCTTCAGAGCATGGTCTTTGTGATTTTTTGTATCATAATGAAACAGAACTTTTATCATCATCACATCCCAATAAATAGAGCTGAACTTGAAGTCAAGTATTTCCCTAAGTGAATCTTCTAGAAAATTGTCTGGTTTTCCTCCATGGGCCTAAATTTTGGTATTTTCCCTGTCTGGTTCACAGAAGTTTGGAGGTAACAACATCCCCTGGGCACAGCCAGTCGTGGTCCCACTCACAACTCCTCACCAAACATCTTCCTGTTCTACATCCATGGTTTCACAGCAGAACAACACACAAAAAGCCTCTGGTTTATTTTGCCTTTGGGAACTAGAGGAAGTGAAGTGTATTGCTTGCAAATATTGAAAATAGCCAATTCCAGTCATAACAGGAAACTGATCTTACACACAATCCCACACAGCATCTCCTCCATCGGACATCCGTGTGAGCCTGCTGCCCCATCTGCTGCCAAAGCACCAGATTGTAATTCCTCTATTTACTATTTTGGCCCAGTTATATTTGCCAGTAACACAAAAGGAAACCAACAAAATGGGCTGTTTCTGGGGAAAAAGGAAAAATTGGAGAGAAACAGGTCAGAGCAGAGAGATCCACAGAATATGAGCTGCATGTTTAAGCCTGGAGAGCAGCTAAGATTTGCTTTGTGAGTTCCAGGCAAGCAGCATTTCAGGAGGGCAAAATTAGGAATAATTTTGCAAAACTAAAGAACACCAGTTCCACAAATTTACTTGAAACATAGCCTAGTCAAAAATAGCATACATAATAAAGTATTCACTCTCCAAATATTTAAAGGACAGCTAGAGCATCCTACATTTTCAGACTAAACATTAAGCACAACTTGCTATCTAATTTTTGAAGGTGAAGAATCCCCCTTTGCAGACAGTTCTCAGCCATGGTTACATGCTGTAAGGTCACAAACAGGTATTTGAGTGGCAGAGTGCCTGTGTCCTCAGCTGACTCTGCTGTCAGGCCCTGGACAGAGCTGGGCAAACGGTGACAGCAAGGACAGCACCATGCTGCATTTCAGGAAAAGCTGTTTCCTGCTCCCACCAACTGCTAGCAGGGCCACGAGTTCCCTCAGCACCTTTCAGCTGCCCCAGACCTGCAGCTACACCCTGGCCCCTCACTGCCACCAGGTACAGCAGCTCCCCAGGACACCCCTCCTCACCCAGGGCTTGCACAGGAGCGTTCCCAGCTGGGTTGTGGGAATCCAGAGCTTCCCTCTGGCTGCCCTGGAAGGTCTGGGACCCTGGCAGGGGTCAGGAACCCCCCTGGACAGAGCCCCCAGAGACACTGGCTGTGATCTCTGTCCATGGAAAAGAGTTTTCAATCTCACAGGATGAATTACAAGCTCTGAGTGTTTGATATAAGTAATAATTAAGTGTGGCACAGGTGCAAAAGTAAAATTTTAGGATTCTAGATAAGGGGTCCAAAGGGGACAAGATGGAGGAAATTGGCTGTGTCTTGTCCTTTTTCTCCTTCTTCATGCCCTCCATGTTTCACTGTGGTGTTGGCATTTTTCTGTTGGTTCAGGCTGGGGACACACTGTCCAACGTAGGTGACAGATATTGGCACGTTATTGTAAATCCAGCACAGGTAGTTTCTGGTATTTAATGTTTGTAACATCCCACTGAGGGCAGAGCCCCACACGCTGCCCTGCAGGACAGAGCTGCGGCAGGGCAGCAGAACATGTTAGAGATAAACAGAATAAACAACCTTGAAACAGCACAGACGAATTATGGCTTCTTCTTTGACAGGGGGGCTGAAAGACAGAGACTTTCTACAATCTGGGAATCATCAATACCACAGATTCTGACACTGGGCCAGCATGTTTGCAGTGCCTTATCTGCACAGCCTCCCACTGTCCCTGTGCCGTGGGTATCACCAGCTGTCTCCCAGGCTGAGCTGTGCTGTCTCCAGAAAGAGCTGCCCAAACCTCAGCTCCCCAGATTTATGCAAAAAGTGACAGTGCCTCTGGCTCCGAGGAGCCCCACAGCCTCCGTGCCCTAAGCAGGAGCTGAGAGATGTCAGAGGCAAGCCCTGCACCCTGCACACCATCCAAAGCTTCCCCACTCCCAGCACAGTGTTTATTTGCCTAAGCTCCTTCAGAGAAGGCATCAGGAACCTGAACCTGCCCCACCTCCTTCCCCAGGCTGCTGGGAAGGCTTTGCTACTTGGAGCATCATTTCAAGCCTGTCTGGTTTCAATGGCCAATTAAGCACTCAGCTCTTGCCTGCTAGATTAATCTACAGCATTAAAAGGCTTTTCCTCATATCCCTGCTTATACACAGTAATCAAAGTGCCTCCAGCATATCAGTCTTTAGGATATCCCAGACAGTCTTTCATCTCATGGGATGATCTCTTTTCTAGTCTCCTTCCTGCACTCATTTTCTGAATCGCTTTGCATCTCTTCCAGTTCTAAAAACCAAGCTTGTGTCCTTTCTAAAGGGACATTAACAGGAGAGCTTCACGCTTGCCATGTCCAGCCAACGATGGCAGACAGGGACAATGATATTCCCACCTGCTCCCCAGAGCCTCTCTATGTCCCCACGAGAGCAGCTGGCCCTTCCCAAGCAGAGCAGCACGCTGGGACTGCCACACAAACATTTCCCCAGGACACAGATCATTCTCAGTATCAGGCAGCACAGCAGCTGTGCAGGCTGCAAACAACTACCTCAATTTCTTCAAAATGGGCCTAGAAAGGTGTGATCCCCACCTGTGGGATCTCTGGGTGTTTATCACCACTTATCACCCCTCCAGCACCCCAGGGTGTTGTACTTCCCATGGGACTGCTCATCAGGAACTGCAGTGACTGGACAAGGAGTAATGGGTTCCCACTGAAAGAGGGGAATGCTGTGTTGGGTATTTGGAGGAAATTCTTCCCTGTGAGGGTGGGGAGGCCCTGGCAGAGGGTGCCCAGAGCAGCTGTGGCTGCCCCTGGATCCCTGGCAGTGTCCAAGGCCAGGTTGGACAGGGATTGGAGCAACCTGGGATAGTGGAAGGTGTCCATGGCAGGGGTGGCACTGGATGAGGTTTACAGTCCCTTCCAACCCATGTGATTCTATGATTCTGTAGAAGGAAAACATATCCCAAAAGTTTTGGAGTAACTGGCTCAGGTTCCAATTATTCCAAAGCACTGGATAGCATCAGTGCTCCAGAAAGAGCATTAGAAACAACCCATATGCATTTCTTCCAAAGAAAGAAAAAAAGGGATATGCACACAAACCTTGGACAGACTCAAGGCTTTCTGGGTGTTTATTGTGGTTTCTTGAACAGGGAATTAGAGAGGGAACAGTCTGCCTTCCACAGAAGCAGCTCCCATAAAAGCCACTATGATGAATCTCAGAACCATGCACACAAACAAGGCTTCCAAAACAGCCCCAGCTCTCACAGAGTGTTTACTATACACCACCTGAACTGGAACTGAGAGCCCCCACCCTTGGTGGGGCTGCTTGAAAAACCTGGTACATGTTCCTGGGACTGACCTTTGGAGTTAGCTTTGCTCCAGAAGCCGAAACCAGGCCAGGCCAACCCTCCCCTTCTGCAGGGCATCATCCACCACCCAATTAAAATAATATCTCCATCCCTGATTGACTGATAATATTCTAACCATACTCCAACATGCTTCTGAGTCGTTCAGGTGCATAGGCAAATCTTGTGTTTCAGATGTTCACATTCCTCTCCTCACCCCCAACATTTTTGGCAACCTACCCTCCTGTGTTTTGACATCTGCAAGGCTGCATTCCTCCTGCTCGGCTTCGGCGCTCTGTTTAATGTTCTCCACTTCCAGCCAAAAACTGTCCATTGACAAGTTGTCCAAAGCCTCTACCCTGGAATTTGTGCTCTCTGACACCGGGGATGCCACAGCACTCTTCGGGGGAAGCTGGTTCATTTTCCAAGGGCAATGGCTGGTGCTGAGAGAGGAAGAGATAAGGAGAGAGAGATTAAGCTCCACGTATCACACACGGCATTCGGCATTCGTGTCCAGCCTCCACTGATTAATGACTGCAGCAGAGCCAAACAGAGGTAAGTGCTGAACTTCCTTTGCTCCGTGTTTAGCAATACAGACAAGGCTGGGACTAAATCCCCTGGAGAATGGGGAAAACTGCTGTCCAAACATGTGAGAGGACACAGGATCAACAGCGTCTTTTCAGTGCTGTCCCTCCTGTGACCTCCAACACACCACCTACCACCCCACACTCACTCCAAGACCTCCCTGCAAGTTTGCACAGGCACCCTCAGCAGTCACAGCCACCCAGGATGTCCCAAACTCAGTGCATGTGTGCTCCAGGAGCTGGCACAGCACACTGCAGCAGCCCAAACCCAGCAGGTTTGTGCTCCCTATGCAAAAACCAGCACAGCTCCATCCCCTGCACCTCAGCTCACACAACAAACAGCTCACAGGGCTGAGGCCCCCTTTTCCTGCCCAGACCAGATTTTTCAGCTGTGAAACAACACAAGGTGTCCTGGGAAACCCAAGCATATGGAATTTTCTTACCACCCTGCTGATTCATTCATGTGCAGCTGAAGTCCCAGACTGGCCTCGTTCAGCTTTCAGCCCCTGTGCTCTGAGCTTCTCATCACTTCATAAAACAGTGCCTCTCCTGAAATGAGCTATAATTGTCTTCAAAGGGTTCCAAGCCATTTAAACCCTGCTATTTTTCAAAGACTTACCAAAAAAATGGGGTAAGTGGAACATACTTATGAAAACACCTCAATGGTTCCACTGATGAATACAAAAATTAAAGAGATGGAACACTAACTGTGGGTGGTTCAAGAAACACCCATGAGAAGCCACCACTACCAAACACAGGCCAAAATTCCTTTATAGTTTCATTAAAAAAAAAAAAAAAATTCAAGGCTAAGTCTTACACCTTGAAAACCATGACAACAAAACACCCACAAAATGCTATTTAGCCTCCTAGCTCTTGGAGCCAAAAGTTATAGATGGCAAAATATCTGGAAAGTTTTAGCCCCTTTCATTCCAGAAAGCAATTATTAGCAGTTCTGGCACTAACTTGCTTCAGTTGAGGAGCATTTCAAATTTTAAACAGCTAATTTGAAGATCTAATAACTAAGAGACAAATGTTGTAGGCCATTCTGCACTTGTATTTACACACCTGTGTGCACATCACACACCTCACTCTAACACACACAGGCAGCCCTGCTCTTCTGGAGGTCAGAGCCACAGCAAAAGCATCATTCCAGGAACATCTGGAGACAGCCACAGTGTTTAGAACAAGAGTTAAAGGGGTTTGCTTGATTGTTTTACAGGACGACAAAAGTGAAAGACTGACTTGAGCTATTCTGCCACCCAGCAGGCAGGAACAGAGGCAATCTGCTTTCCTATTTCTGGATACCCAAGTAACACTCAAGATACCAATTTATATCCTGGTGGAGCACTTAAATAGTCAATCTAAGATTTATTTTTTACCTGCACAGCTCATGTCCAACTCTCCGTTCCATTGTAGCTACTAATGCAATTTATTTTTTCTCTTTTCAAATTTTACTCCTATCTTTACCCATTAAGAGTTAAAAAGTTAGATTGCATCCCTCACCTTGACTCTTTATCTTTAGTACTCTTCTCCATTTTCTCACATTTGCTAACAATAATCTCATAATATTAGATTTAAACAAAGACACCTTGCTAGCATAAAAAAAGACTGTTCAAGACTTTGCTAGGATTCTATTATGAACCAGTCAACAGAACTCACCACTTGCAACATGAAACATAGTGGAAGGAGGAATTCAGATTATTTTGAGGGAGTTGGCTTTGGCCATATGAGGAACACTAGAAGACAAACTTGCACTGAAGAAGTCTCCCAGCACAACACTCAGGAAACATCTTACAGGTTCTTCTAATTGCTCTGCTGCAGGATTTCAGCAGGCACAAAACAATTCTTGCCTTAAGTTACTGCCCTATATTCCTGTGGGACCTAGATTATACAGATTAAAGTAGCTCCAAAATGCAGCTTTCCTTTGTGTTCAGCTTGGTTTGGAGCTGGCTCATAACACCCCAAAAATCTCCAGGGATCAACACCAAAACAGAATCTGGGTTTGCAGCTCCAGCAGAACCTGCCCCAGACCTGACCAGCAGCTTGCACCCAGCAGATGTGCACTGTGACAAGCCTGTGTCACACAGAGCTGTGACAATTCCTTCCCCACGCCTGCCTGGAAAAAAACAACACCATTTGAAGCCAACATAAATAAAATCTTCAGCTCTTTCCAAAGGGTGGCTCTTGACTTCGAGCTTCTGCATGACTTACCCTGACACTGGGCTCTGAATGCCAGTTTCAGCCCAGGAGGTGTTACTCCAAGGGGAGCATTATTTATGTAAGGCATTAGGGCATATTCCTGGAGCACACCTGAGAAGGGTCACAAATTCCACACAGCCCAGGCTATGCCCTTGCCAGCAGCTGGTTTTGCTCTGCCTTCAGTCCATATCACAGAGTTCTGGTGCAAGGACAGAGTTCTGCCAGACAACAGGGAACTGCTGCACCCCATCCCACCCTGGCTGTGCTTCCACACCATCCACGTTACTTTGCTTCCTTCCACAGCTGGAAATACAGATGTTCTGGGACTGCTTGCACCAAAAGCCCATCAGTCACGCTATAAACCTACTCTAGGAAAGCCACAGCTGATCTACTTGTGTGTCAAACAAAAGCCATCCGAACATTTTCCCCTCAGCTGGCCCGTTCACTGATGCACTAAACTTTTCAGTTTCAGCGAGCTGCAGGATGCTGATCTCACACATCACCTCTACAAAGGGGCAGCAGGACCCAAAGCCCAGCTCTACTAGTGTTAAACTAGAGCTGTTGCTCCTGTCTCTCAGGACAACATAAAAATCAGGCCTTAACATTTAGAAAATGTTTTATTTTTCGGTCTAAATGCCTTTTTTTTTTTTTCCTTGAACTCAGTGCACAGTGCTTTGCAAATCCAGCTGCCCAGGTGGAAGTCTAATTTTAGATTCAGTGCACCTAAAAGATTGTTCTTCCTCATTGCATACCCGAGTCAACTGGAGGGCAGCTTGTGCTGTGCAAGCACAGCAACAGCTGAGATTGAAAGCAGAGATTGTTGGCTTAAAATGTTAATGGCTCAGTGCAACTGGGCAAAGAGGAGGTGGAATAATCAAGCTCACTCCATTGCACTGTCAACCTAGCAAAAAGCATCAGATTATGAAGCTTTAAAAATTAACCCAACAAAAAGGAGACTGGCAGAAAGATCTTGTTAAGAACAGCCATACAGGAAGGGCTCTGTGGAAAGACTGAGCATCTTAATCCAATAATTCTCCTTTTGTTAAGAGCACAGCAAGTTTTAACAAGGCTCGAGATTCACCTGGCACCTTCAGCCTAAGCCTGACTTCACAGCATTAATAACACAGCTGTGAGAAATGAGGCTGGCACAGACATTACAGCTCATTTTCCTGCTGCTCCCTCTCCATGTCCCCTCCACCAGGATCCCTGGAAGTCCTGCACGCCTGGCTCAGTGCTGGGGGCTCACTGACCCTGGGCTGCAAAATGCAGAGGAGTTTTTGATCTGTTCCTAGATACTGTCAACATACTGCAAATATGTTGCAAACAGTCATGTAATTCTTCACCCTCTTGAATACCAAAATACAATAAACACTGTTGCTATGCTCACTCCAGGCTTGAATCACTCCCATGAGAGCTTCTCAAAGGACCCGGAGCTGCTTGGGCTTCTTTTCTGCTTGCTCAACATCCCTCCTTCATTGAAATACCTCTCTAGCAGATGAATAAATAAAAAGGTTCCTTCTCAACCATTTCAAACACATCAGGAGGAAACAAGTGCAAGCCAAGAAAACGGAATTCTTTTAAGTTTCTTCTTCCAGAAAACGAAGATGAGAAAAAGGCAACAAGAACAGAAGAATTCAGGCAGACGAGGCAGTCCTGCCACACAAACAGCACCCAGTCTTTAAAGACATTTCCAAAGGTCTGGAGCAAGCACAAAGGCACACATGGAACAAAAAAACAGACAGAAAGTCTGAATGAGCCTCAAGAGCTGCTCTGGAGCAGCACACCAAGTCACAGCATCATTCACAACAACCCAGACTGTGAGCATGGAACACAAGAATCTTGCAAGAGAAAAAAAAAAAAAAAAAAAAAGAGAGATTAGTTTATCAACTGGTTACAGTATTTTGACAGATAAAGACCCTTGAGAACAAAACTGCATTAATGTCACAGCAATCTTACCTACTTTCAATTTACTTCAAGGTCAAAAACAACTCATGAGCACAAAAGCAAAAAATTGAAAGAATCAACCAAAAACTCCATGCAGGCTCTCCTCACATTGCTTCCAGATTCTTACCCTAAGCAAGCAGATTCAACCCAAATAATGAAACATGTAGTTGATTCTGAAGAAAAAAAAGTCACCTAAAGATCAGCACATCACAGTTCACAATATACTAGGTTTTCTTGTTTAAAATCATGTAGGGGGATAAAGGCACTCAGGAATAACAGACAGGAATATTTGAAAAACTGAGAAAATCCTGAAGTAGTAACTCACAAATATGCCTTTTTTTTTTTTTTTTTTAACATAGATATAGCTGTAGCTATTTTGTTTACTGGAGGTTTAAACCTCAGCCTATCAAAATTATCAATGTAAATATAAAAACAGTTTCCTGTATGGAAGAAGTCAACCTACTCATCAAAACTTTACATGAAATATACACGATCACTAATTCATTCAGACACACAAAACTACACAAAGCTCTATTCCTACCACAGAGAGCAATTTGATGCAGGAGATGCCTCATGAAGAAAAATTCCACAACTTTTCTGCTAAAGATCTAAGCCAGAAAAAATCCCTACTGCAAATCTTGAATGTCTGGCTTAGTCACTCTCAAAATACCCCAGATTTTGTACATGAACACCACTACCAATTCCTCCCTTTTCCCCAGTAAACAGAAAAGAACTATTAAGGCTTACTCTTAGGAGAAAATGGAAAGCACATGGCTGGTTCAGATTCCTCAGACCAGGCCATAAAAGCAAAGAGAGGCTAATTATCAAATTACTGCGGTGGCAATGAACAATAACCTACCCAACAGACTCTCACCATGCTTTCCTTTCCCTGGCTTAACTCAACCAAAGCAGCTAGAGCCAGAATTAAAGCAATTTTAGCAGTAGTCTGCCACTGCTGATGCACATTTGCACACCTCTGACCAGACATTTGCTCACATATTTAGTAGTTTCACACACAACATCCCCTGTGAGAAGTCACAGTGCCTTTAGCCCAGGATACTTTATCCAGCACTGCTGCCAACCCCCACTTATGTCCCCATTAAGGCATTTTATCAAGGACTTTGCAGACGTGGGATGGCACAGTTGAAGGTCTGTCTCTACAGCACCAGCAAGAATAACTAAGATGTCAGTGCCACAATTTGCTAATAAGATTACAGCTTGTTTTCAGTAACACAGCAATCAGCTCATCAAGATCTTCCATTATGCAAGCAGCTCAGGGAGCAGCGTCATTTCAGGTTGTTTTGAAGAAGCCTGTTCTGCAAGTGATAAAGAGGACGTGCCAGATCGTGCTCTGTGTGTGCAGCAATTCCCACCAGCTGCAGCTTTGCCCCAGTGTAACAACGAGGAGGCACAACCTCACCTCCTGCCCTGGTGTTCTCAGAAACACCAGAAAAAGCAAACAGGAGTCCTTTGCCCAGGGCTGTGTGGAGTGAAAGATGTGAATCCTGAGGTTTGTGTGTATCCCACTGCTTCAGCCTAGCACCTCCAGTGTTTTCTATGCTGGACAAACTCCAGAGGGTGGTGGAGCACTGGCACAGAGAAGCTGTGGATGTCCCATCCCTGGAAGTGTTTAAGGCCAGGTTGAATGAGTCTTTGAGCAACCTGACCTGATCTTGGGCATCCCTTCTCATGGATAAGTTTGGAACTTTATGATCATTAAGGTCCCTTCCAACCCAAACCATTTTATGATTTTGTTACCTCCACCAGAGCTTTGGATCTCAACTAAAGCACAGGTTGTAACTTTCCTGACAATAAGTGTTTCTATCAAAGCATGTAAGGGCTAAGGAACTCTGTTGCTAGTTCCTTGTCTCAGGCCTTCACCTGGAATCGATTTGTCTCCACTCCATCTAGTAAGGGGCTAAATAAGCCAGCTAAGGAATAGGGAAATTTGCCTTTAATTACAGAACTGCCTAGAGGCATCTCCGACCGAAACTCAGAGCAGAACAAAAACAGGATTGATAACCCCATGCAGATACAGCCAAATTAAAAATATTCAAAGCCATGTTTAGCTTAGACTATTAGCTGGGTGTCTGTCCCACCACGCAAGGACTTGTTTTGGCTTTAGAAGACACAAGCCATCCTCTCTGTGCATGGTTTTGTGTTTGACTGTAAGGTCCCCGTGGATGAGCCTGTTGTTCACTTTCCCCGCATTAGCAGGGTAAGCCAAACAGGAAAGGGCTTTCATCCAAAGGGAAATCCTGCTGGGAGAAAGGGGTACCTGGCCAAAACAAACCTTTGGTAGTACTGGGATCTTTACTGTGATTGTGAATTGATGAAGCTGATCTACAGGATGGCTAGATGTCAGTCATTAATTAAAAGGTGGCATTCCTAACCTTATCTGCACTGAATCCACGTCCATTTAAACACATCAGCAGCTTTGTCCATCCAGTTCCCACAAGGACCTGCTCTGCCATTCCCATTCCACCTATCAGTATGGCACCAGGATCCCAAACCCCTCAGCCCAGCTGGCATGGGGCTACAAACCCCACGGCACAGTATCTCCCAAATCCTGTCCTCACCACTCCCCTCTCCCATACAGAAGCTGCCCTGGGCTGAGCCTGTGCACAGGAGTACCACGAGGAAAGCTGCAGGCAGGGAATCAGTGCCCTTTGGTGACTGTGCTGTCACAGCCCCGAGCACACACTGCCAGGGATTCTGCTGAGGCCAGTGAGTCAATCCCTCCCAGTCACTGCACACATCCTCAAATCTCGCTACCGTTACAGCAGCTGAGGCACCTTCACTTTATTGCCATCACTGCTGGGACTGCAGGCCACATGCTCAGCCTTGCACACCTCAGACACTCAGCTGAGGGACCAAGGGCTGAGGGACCACTTGGCCTCCAGAGGAAAGGCTGCCAGCATGTTTGAATCCACCACAGAAAGGCTGTGAACTTATTTCTGGTGTAATCATTCATAAATGCCTTTGCCTTTTACAGAAGCGGGTTCATACACACTAAACACTTGTCCTACAGCTTCTCAAATGTTGAACTCGGAGTAAATCAGGGTGATAGCACTCATCCTTATTTCTTCTTCTAGCCAATTCTACCAGCTGTAGCTGCATTAGAGCACAGAATGAGTAACTGCAAGTTGTTGCTCAGCTGCATGAGAGCAGCCCAGAGATGTTGGAGAGGTCACAAGAGTGACGTGCTGAGCAGCCCAGGGGAAGGAGGGGTGGAGAGGTGTGCTGGAATCCAGCTATGCTTCACTCACGAGAGCTTTAGGGATGCAGGAAGACAGGGAGGAGTCATCAGCTCCTCGCATGGATTTCTCAGGGCAGAGTTATTACACATAACACAAGGTGCTTGCCTGCTACCCTGCCATGAAAAGCCCTTGGCTGGGATTTATAACCAATTCTGTTCAACTGGAGTGTCACCAGCCAGCCCAGGGCCACCAGCCCAGTCTGTGAGCCACCCCAGGTGCCACAAGCTTTACAACACTGAGAGGAAGAGGAGGAGGGAGGCAGACCTGGCTCAGCAGTGGCTTTTGCTCCATGACAACACCACCAGCCCCTTGCAAGCCAGCAGGAATCTTACTGGGAACTCAACAAGCACATCAGAGTGCTGATCAAAAATAAGCACTGATTACGGTCAACTAATTAGGAGAGCAGGCTGGCATATCCTTGCCCTATTGGACAGGTAAGTTTTAGGTCAATCCTAGGCAAGAGGCTTAGCTACACACAAACACACAGACACCTCACCTGTGGTGAGTCCTGAGTGAGCAGGTGGGAAGTGCCACTTGGCCGGGGTTCAATGTTTTGGGCAAAGCTGGTGAGCAAGTTTGAGGCTCCTGCTGTAGCACCTCTTCAGAGCTGACCACAGAGGTGTTCTGGCACCAGCACAGACACCGGAACTCAACTAACTCGTTTGGCAAAAGCCTTAAGTTGTTAACAAATATTTTGATTTTTATCAAAGAAAGCCTGCAACACTGAAGGTTTTAATCTCATTCTCTTACACGTGGGTAATTTTAAAGTAATTTACCATATCATTCCTGTGTCAGTCCCCCTACAATTATTATTAATTTTCTCTTTTCACAACTCAGATTTTGCCTGGGGTCTTTTAAAGAGTTTCTCTCTTGCTTTGAATGCACAGTGTCATCAAATTGGACTGGAAAAAAAATGAGAACTCAGACACATGAAAATGTGAGCTGTGATTAGAAGTAAAATCACTGTCAGCACATTCACCCAAAATCAACAGATTCTGACCACTACAGCACGGAAACATTCTAAAACTCAATGCAAACTTCTCAACTGATGCAAATGCACCTTAGATTAATTCTTAACTCATACAATACCCAGGAAGCACACAAGCAGAACAGTGGCTGTCAAGCAAGGCAGTTCAATTTTCAGTACTACTTGCACGATAAATCAGCAGTTCTTACATCCACAAAGCCCCGAAGAGCCCTCAGACCCCGAGGCAGGATAGCAGCGGGTCACAAGGAGGAATTTCAGCCCCTCAGGTCCCACTTCCCCATCCTGCTGCACTCAGCCCAGGGTGAGCACAGAGAAAAGAACAGCGATTTTCACAGGCTTAGTATGAGGAAAAAGAAAGACAATTTCTATAGGTGTCATTTCTCGATCGAGGCACTCGCAGCACTATTTTAAGAGCACACAAGCGCCTGCTCACCTCTAGAATTCACCTTGCCCGCACCTCCCCATGGCCCGCGCAGAGAGAGCAGAGAGCAGAGCCGTGTGCCAGGGGAACGCTCCGTACCTGCTGCGCAGCTGGGCACAGCTGGCTGCCCGGCCAGGTGCCAGCAGCCCCCGGGACCCAGCCGTGCCAGGCGGGGCCATCCTGGAGCCGCGCTCGGCCATGTCCCGCCGGGCAGGAGAGAGGCGGTCAGTCCATCCGTGCGCAGAGGCGATGCTTGTCACCAACGAGGTGACAGCGGAGCATCCCCTGCTCCTCCCTGCAGGAGCCGCCCACGCGGGGACACGGGGGACACGGGGGACACGGGGGACAGCCCACGGGCAGCAGCCGAGAGCGGAGAGCAGCACAGAGCTCTTCCTCCCGAGGCTGCGGCTCAGCCTCGCTGAACATTAACGGGAGCGCAGCCCACAACAAATGGAACTCCCGAGCGCAGCCCAGCAAGGAGGAGTCAAGCAGCTTATTCGCTCCTTAGCGTTGTGCTTGAAGAGAACATCAAGGAAAGAACAAAATATCTGGCCGGGGATGTGGGGAGGGCAGAAAAAAAAAAAAACAAACAAAAAAAAAAAAAAAAAAAAAAAAAAAACCCCAAAAAAACCCCAAAAAAACTCCAAAAAAAAAAAAAAAAAAAAAACCCAAAAACAAAAAAAAAAAAAAAAAAAACAAAAAAAAAAAAACAAAAAAAAAAACAAAACAAAAAAAACCCCACAAAAAAACCAAAAAACCCCCCATAAAACCCAAAAAACAAAAACAAACAAACAAACAAAAAAACCAAAAAAACAAACAAAAAACAAAAAACCCCAAAAAAACAAAAAGAAACCAAAAAACCCAAAAAAAAACCCAAAAAAACCCCAAAACCCCCCCAAAAAAAACCAAACAAAAAAAAAAAAGCCCCAAAGAACAAACCGAGTGCCTATTAAAAAAGCCATTCAGCATTTCTTGCCATAGTTGAGCAGTGAGTAAGCCCCAGCTGGATGTAAGACACTGGTGTTGAAAGAGCAGTCTAAACTCATAACACCTACAGAGAATATTTTGCCAAGATCCAGATTATTCTTCAAAAATCTCACGAATAAGCAATGTACAAGTGAGCAAAGGGTTAAAGCAATCGGATGCCTGTAGCAAAACCTGACAGGTTTTACTCTTTGTTACTCTCTCTACGGTGTTTCAGTGACTCTTCTTTCTTCTAACAATTCTTTTTTCAGAATCCCGATGTGAAAGGGATGAGTAATTTATTTTAAGTTTTTTAGTGAAGGCACGCAAAGCTCATCCAGCACAAGTAACAATCCCACTCTGTGCTTCCCATATTCCCAGTAAGGCTGGATCTACAGCTCAGCCTGCTTTGCCTCCAACAGCTTAAAGAGCAGCAGCAGCTATTTTAGAGACAATTCCTCGTCATAAAAGATCCCATCTTGGCTTTGTTCCTACCAACACAGGTTTTTTCCCAACCACTGCTTGAGCTCACCCTGCTGCTGAAGGAACACTTCCTCAATCCCCAGCTTCAGACCCAGGGCTGGCACTGGGAACGTTCTTGGTCTGGGACATTTAAAACTCCCCACACTACCTATGCAAAAGTATTAATCGGGATTTCCTCTCTTCTCCTTACTCACAATTCCTGTAAAACTTATTCCTCCACCTCTAATTCAGAGCTCAGGTTTTTCCACACAGCTCCTCCTACACCAGCCCCAAAGACCAACCACAGAGAGTGCCAGCATGTGAAGTCCAGTTATAACCAAAACCCAGAGACCGCAGGTGTTACAGCAGCACAGAATCACACACAGGCAGGTAGCACAGAATGGTTTGGAAAGGACCTTCAGGACCACCCAGTGCCACCCTGCCATGGCAGGGACACCTTCCACTGTCCCAGGGTGCTCCCAGCCCTGTCCAGCCTGGCCTTGGGTACTGCCAGGGATCCAGGGGCAGCCACAGCTGCTCTGGGCACCCTGTGCCAGGGCCTGCCCACCCTCACAGGGAAGAATTTCTTCCAACTATCCATCATAAAAATTTCACCTACTAATGAAACCTGTAGGAACACGCAGAAAGCAAATTAAAGGTTTTTCATCCTTTTTTTGCAGCTACAGACTACAGCTGCTGCAGAAGTGTCACCATCACGTGTGACCACACACACTGCTCAGGATGTGAGACACGGAAGGGGAGAGCAAGGAGGGATGACAACAAAAACATCTGCAAGAGCAAATGTGGCTGCTCTTTGCTTTCTGTTTTACAACATTTGAAAAGCATTTTGTTCTCTCCAAGGAGCACTCATCCTTTCCAAACCACTCCCCACCAAGCACACCTTGCCCTGAAACAAGGGGTTGGGTTTCAGGCCATTCCTTCTCCTGGACATAAAATCACCTCTAATTTGCCAAATAGATGGGCACCACAGCCCATAACTTTATTTCTTTTGTCTCTCAATGGTGTTCCTTGTCATTAAATGTCTTTTAATAACTCCAGCAGCCAGCTGATCATCCTTTTTAATGGGTCAATTTACAGACGGAGGCTGCCAGACACTCGTACCAGGCAGTTTCATCCTCAGGTCTCTCATGCAGCAATAATAACTCAGCCAGGCTTGTTGCACAACTGAGCAAATTTAAGGCATCCAGATGAAGACAGAATTCTTTAGGAGTACATTCAGCTTTGATTACTCACACAAAGAGTACACAAGCACTGCTGAAAGTTTCTGATCTCTGTGGATAATAACAGCTGCACCACAGCCTTTCACATCTCCACTCCTGTCTGGCCTGCAGTTATTCATGGCATTTGAGAGGAGTAATCAGTAAGTTTATCTCCTAGATTGTGCTTGTGAGAAAAAAGGTGGAGGAATAGAGGCCAGCTGAGTCTGCTTTTTCAGAGTGAATCAGGATAAATATTCCAGCTCTGGTTTTGACTTCTCCAGCATGTTTCATGCTCCAGGACAGTCTTCCTGGCATCATTAGAGATGAGACAAGCTCACCAGGATAAGATTATCTGGATCACAGGAGCTGAATCTTACTCAAATATGGAGACAAAGAGACATATGATGCTCTCAGCAGCCAATTAGTTCCAATGAATCATGGGAACAGACCCAGCACTGTTACCGTCACCACTTTAGTGCACAAGTTATTTCTGAAGGCATCCACACATCCTGCCAAGCTGACATGACTTGGCCTGACTTTTTCAGGCTCAAAAGGAGGTGGAAAAACATCTGACATGCTTTTTGGATAGTCATGAATTTCAGCAGAGCTAAGGACTGGAGGAACTCTGCAGTTTGGGAGAGCTGCCTCTGCATGGTGCCTGATAGAGCTGGGCATCAGAGCCTTCAGGGCAGCTGGAATAAAACATCCATGGGCTGCAGTGCAAGATCTTATGGCAGCATTACATTTTTCAAGCATCCCCAAATTAGTTTGTTACCCTGAAAAAATGAATGCAAGTGACACACTGCAAAGTGGAGTGGGAAAATTTCTTCTTCAATTCTTTTTTTCTCAGGTTTATTTTGAGGGCACATAGCATTAGCAAAACCTGAAAATCAATTATCCCTGCTCAATCCATCACGTAAGAAAATCCTCAAGTGGTGCTACCTATCCATCACACAGACTCACTGAGATTAAGAGATTATTCCAGTTTCTGGAGTCACTAAATCAGTGAGATTATCCAAGCCCCAGCTTGCTCCCAGTCTGGCAGGAGCAGCAGCCAGGCTGTGGCCTGGGGCACGGAGTGAGCTGCAGCCAGGTCTGGGTAAGGCAGCAGCTGGGCCTGCCACACATCTGGTTCTGCTCTGCCTGAGCTGGGAGAGAAAAGCAGCACCTCACAGGAAAAAAGCTGCCAAGAGACAGCCCAGCAACACTCAGGCTCTACCAAGCATTTCCACTCATGATTTACTGCTTGAGACAAGAGTTAATCTGTCATCCTGCTGGGAGTATGCCCAGGGAGCTGGAGGATCAATAATCAATATCAATTAATATCAGTATCTCCAGCTGCCTACCCTTATTGAAAATGTCCTGCCTTGGGAGAATCAAGGAAGTGGGGTAGGGGGGGAAAAAGTCATACTCTGTTTAGACACAGATGTATATTCAGATAAGTCAACTGTAAAGTCTCTTAAGCCTAATTACTACTGTAAATGTAATTTAAATCACCCAAAACATTTCCACTGCTCAAGGAAGAGCTGCAACAATTGGCCTGAAAAAGTCAGGCCAAGTCATGTCAGACTTTACTGCTTGAGACAAGAGTTAATCTGTCATCCTGCTGGGAGTATGCCCAGGGAGCTGGAGGATCAATAATCAATATCAATTAATATCAGTATCTCCAGCTGCCTGCCCTGTTTGAAAATGTCCTGCCTTGGGAGAATCAAGGAAGTGGGGTAGGGGGGAAAAAAGTCATACTCTCTTTAGACACAGATGTATATTCAGATAACTCAACTGTAAAGTCTCTTAAGCCTAATTACTACTGTAAATGTAATTTAAATCACCCTAAACATTTCCACTGCTCAAGGAAGAGCTGCAACAATAGGAGGAAGCACTAAGACAGGAGCTATTCTTAACACTCAAAAACATTTATTCTGATGAATAACCAAAACTTACTTATGAATGTAAATTGAATATGGCTCTGCCTCCTGGGCACTGAAGGCTGGGTAAAATTAGAAGCCTTAGCGGGTTTCAGAGGATGACCTCGTTTACCTCCCTGCCCAAACATGTGCCTGATATCTACAGGGGGCAAAAAATCACCAAAAAAATTCTCTCTCTTGCTGGACACTGAAGGCAGAAAGGAGTCACAGGCACCAGAGTCATGAGCAGCAAGCTGCTTGTTCACTTCCTGCAAGCCCAGGCACCTTTTGTCCCTGCAGCAGGTGACAGAGTGCCACACATCACTCTGGAGGGACCAGTGAGCAGCAGCCAGGCCCCTCCAGCCACAGGGAGTGAGTGAGCAGTGCCTGGTGCCAGCTGAGCACACCCAGGAGTTCTGTGATCCCCTCTGCACAGCTCATCCCCAGCACCACCTCCACAGAGCACTTCAAACATCCTTCATTTTCACAGAACAAGAATATACAAAAGCTCCAGCTCCTGAGCTCATGCCCCAGCTGATTTCACAAACCTCATCTGGATTTTTGCACGTTGGATTTTCTGTTCCCTTCTGGGAAAGAGATGAGGCAATGAAGCAACAAATAGAAAGAGTGCCAGAAATGGACTTTCTTTCTGGGATGCCCCAGTTCTCAGCCCAAAGATGTGATAGATTAGGTTGTCATCTTGTTTATTTCCTGCAGCATAATCACAGCAGGGGATGGGCTCGCTGGGCTGAGCTCGCCATGAGTCAGTTTGTGGGCATCCTACAGGAGTTGCTGCCCAAGGAATGCCAAACATCCACTCCTGGGAGAAG